GAAAAGTTATCTAACATTTTATTATTTAATAATTTATTGAAATATATAAGTTTGTCCAACTCCCTGTGTATAGACGTATAACACAAAACATTAACATTGCATAAAACATTACTAGCAATGTAGGAACATTGTATACACATTATTATTTTAGGGTGAGTATTGCATACGTAGTATTAGTAGTGACGACAAATTACATACGTATTACTAATAATGACTGAACGTCACAAACGTATTACTAGTAATGGTGAAACCTTGTATACGCGTTACTAGTATTGGTTGAATGTTGCATATATCTTAAGAGTAGTAATACATAAGTATTACAAGTAATGGCTGGATATTACAAACGTATTACCAATAATGACTGAACGTCACAAACGTATTGCTAGTAATGGTGAAACCTTGTATACGCGTTACTAGTATTGGTTGAATGTTGCATATATCTTAAGAGTAGTAATACATAAGTATTACAAGTAATGGCTGGATATTACAATCGTATTACCAATAATGGCTGAACGTTACATAAACGTATTAAAAGTAATTACAACGATAAAAAATCCAATAAATGCAATTGTCTACACCTCGTTTACAACAATAACATTGAGTGTTAATATTAGCGACCGTTCTTTTGCATTTGTGAGTTTTGCAAATATACAAAAAGTTGTATTTCTGAATTAAATGTATTTCTGACATCGAACTCACGCTAAATATCGAGCTGTTCAAGTACAAGTTTCATGTAATATATTTTGAGAGCATGTGCAGTGGTGTTCTGAGGGCAGTGTTCGTAAGCGCCACGCGATCCAACATCTTAAAACGTGCTCAAGTGAACGGGGAAATGTAACCACTCCTTCGGTTGGTGGTTAACTGTCATTGGTGGCGCTTTATCGCGAGCAATTATGACACCGCAACACCCACTACTAGTCGTACTATTCCTACACAGGCTATATTTGTGAGCACATCGCGTGTTGTGAGAACTGGACCATTTATAAGGTAAATGTAGATTATATTTATTGGCATGCAATATGGGAACGTCTTTTGTTCCTAATATGTCGTTGGAGTTCAAGTTGGTCGATTAGAGTCTGGCGTAAAATTTGCAATTTCGTTTTTATTGGGTGTGAACTCAAATAATCATGTTACGATAAAGGATGGAGTAAAAACGGCTTTCATCAGGAATGGTATTTATCGGTGCACACGACAGTTTTATTACAAGTATATGTATTTTATAGTTGACACCCGAGATGTGCAGTAACCTCGAAAAGATTATATACAGTGTGCTTTGGTAATTATTAGTTGAGAAATGCCAGTGACCCGAAAACCGAACGAAACATTAGTTCATCACGCATTAATTGTACTACCATTTCACTTCTTTTCTTTCAACAATCAAACAATTGTCACAATTCGTAAACTTTCAAATACGCACGTAATTTTGATCTGAAATCTAGACCCTCTGAAACACCATTTCCTGCATTTTGAGGGGCGAATTACGCTGAAACAAAGGATTTCAGTTGATTTTGAGGGGGGCGACGCCCGTCCAACATTTTTTTCGAGGGAGGATTGCCCCCTCTGCCCCCGGTGCCACCGCCACTGAATTTACAGTGCGTCATCAAGACATATACTAATTGTACATAGACTTATTGTAATAAGTTATTACTATAGTGTATTTGTTCTTTAACGCGTAATACAGACGATTATCAGAAAAAAATGCGTTCCCATCACTTTTGATCAAAACATTTTCTAAATGGGGAAAGAGAAAATTATAGTAGGATATGTATTCAGCGTTCCGAGGACTATTCGTCGTACGCCCGTACGTAAAAATACAGATCTCTGTCGACATTCCAAAATATAGGTGAGGGTCACCCCGTCCGTCTGAAATCAGAACCGATGGAGGAAATCAAGTGCCTCACTCATACAGTTGCATGTGAATCGTTAATCGGAAAAGAACATGTAAAAAACCCCTGATGTCTCTGATGACGTATTTATACGAGTTTTCTGTTCCAATTTACACACAATCGAATGTGCATGATTTCTCATATCGGTTACGTAATTGGGAGGCGGGGGGACTTAATAAGTAGACTGTCGTCCTCTGAAACATTTTAAATCGTACATTGAAGTTAAATACACATTTCAAGGACGCTTCCTGTTATGCTGCATCTCCAAGGGTTGGTCAAGATGGTATTCGAAGAAACGATCAAAATTCACTTTTATGATCACTCTAAACACGTGTTGTCATTAATGTTCGACATGAAACCACCATCACTGCCTAGTTTATGCCATGACGACCGATAGGTTAAAGAAAGTTTTTCGGAATAATTTTTTTAGTCACGTTGGGAAACAACTTAGACCTGATAATTTTAAATCAATTATGTGCGATCTGTGTTCATTTCACACCATGCAGGTATTGGATGAGACATTGCGTTACGAGTAAGAACAAGGGGGTATAAAATGGGAGAGTTAAAGTTTATCCAGCGGACCAGTCACTTTGTTCGCTTTGTGTTAAATATAAATGTTTCCTTCATTGCCATGCACATTTAGTTCTCATCTCTGATGGGCACATTTATTTTAAACCCATACGACTAATACCGATCATCATGTTGTGGTCATCTAAACTAGACATATAGAGAAAAATAGAACCAACATTAAACAACTTCATTAAGAATAGATTATAATGTACACTGAGATTTGTTTTCAAATCTGCACCTTCGTGCAGTTTGTGATGAACATAGCTCAGAATGTCGTAACTCGTAACAGTAAAAGAAGCACTAGCAATTAGCAAAATAAGTAAAAATACAACCCAATAGATAAGTGCGTTTTATAGCGGCACAGTACTTTTGAGAAAGCATTCGTCTATGATGGCAAAACAAGACAAACTTGTTGTTCATTTCATTAATGTAGCTTGCAAGGAAATGTGCACCAAAAGTAGAACAGCAATCTAAATTTAGCTCTGCGCATGCCCAGTCGTAACACTGTTGTCCAGTAACCTCAGGCTTATTCCAGGTTTATTCTATTTCATGGGAGATCATTCTTGAAATTCTAGCTAGCTGATACGTGGTATTTCCGTTATCGATAAGGAGTAAAATCAGGAACCAATTAGTAAATAAACTACTTTGACGAAATGAAATAATTCAGATTACATTCAGTTTGAGAGAGTTGTTTTTTTTTTGTTCAAAGGGGCGGCGAAATACATCTTGGTATACGCCAACATATGATAGTTTGGAATGTGATAGACCCCTAAGAGATTTCTGGAAGAAAACAAAATGATTAACTTATTCTCGTTTAGGCTTTTATGGGTTATTTTGGTATCCCAGATGATTTGATACACCAACCTTTATTCATTCATAACCTCATATGTCAGTTACATGCTGCGATAGCATGACCGGGTGGCAAATCAGTATACTCGTGTATTTTAAACATGTCACCTTTAACGCAGGCTATTGCCATTCTGCCTTCGAAAAAACATTACAGTGACGCAATTTCGCATGGATGCCTGCTTCTAAGAAACAATGCCATTGAAATAAACGTAAGATTCGTTTTTTGGAGTACAACAGGCGTCGCGCAGCCAATGTTGGAAATTCGTGTGAACGAACAATATTCGACCCGTTGTATGCTTCTCATGGAGCCCTCACGACAAGATTTGTCGAATATAAAGCTTCAACAACATTCAGATGGAAAGACGTCTACTTTCAGAATTTATAGTATAGTGTGCCTTAATTTAACCAGTAATATAACATCCATTTTAAAAATTTGTTGAAGATGTGTGTCTCATTACATGTTTTATTTCAGACATGAAGTACACGTGTGTGACTATAGCCCTATTATCAATAACTTGGACGATATTCAGTATTGGTAAGTAAAATGTAGTTGTGTAATTGTAGGAATAATCCGACATAAAAATGCACGACAAATCAAATTTTGCTTTTCAACAATTTCCAGCGATTTTCTGTAGTATTTTTTGACCGGCGACTGTAACTATTAATTTCTGGGCCATGTGCAGAGTCTGGTTCAGGAGCACGAATAACACCCTCAACGGAGGCCAATTTCTGCCTTTTCATATGTTAGTTCTCATAAGAACTAAGGATTTGTCATTGTGTCAATAGATTCGAGTAAAGAATAAAACAATCACAATTAATATAACTATTATAGCATTTCATATTCCATACTTAGTATCCGTGGATGGGGCTTTCACGAGGGACCCTGTTGTGGATGCCTCGTTCCACGAAGCCTGCAATCAGGTGGACAGGGCTATTGAACAATCTATGAAAACTATCAAGCACAACAAGAATCCAAAGAGTCCAAGTGATTTGTTAAGATTATTCCGATTTCCCACTCGAGACATGATACGAGCAGCCTTGCCGGAGGAAATACTAGAAAGAACAATAGCTATTGTGAAAGACCACGATGCAAGTGTCAAGTCAATGCGAAAACGACGGCATACCGAAGACGAAAACGATGACGGTATTTTATTTTTTGTATTATTATCATATCTTAATTATTGTTTACATGTTTGGTAATGATGATGACGAGATTCACAATCAAAGCAAAATATGTTCATGATTTTGGTGAATTCATCAAAATAATACTTCTGTAGTTCCTCGTTAAGTAAGTTGCCCAAGGCTCGGGTCACATGTAATGTTTACAATGAATCTCACACAAGTCACGGTGATCAAATGATGTCAATACGAGCAGCTACACTCTCAATTTTTTACTATTTTTATTTCCATATTAATTCACAGATACTCGACTCACTCAGGACATGGTTGGGGAAATTGCCGCGATGTCTGGGTGTAATGATTTCCCCGTCACATGCCATGACATGTGTTTCCATTCAAAGTACAGGACCATCGATGGCACATGCAACAATTTCGACAGACCGACTCAAGCAGCGTCTTTGACCCCGTTCGCTCGCATTATAGCCCCAGTTTATGAAAATGGTTTTAATGAGCCAGTTGGTTGGAACACCAATAAGATGTACGACGGATTTCATAAACCGAGCCCACGTAAAGTTTCTTATACGATTGGATCTACTACGACTATCACCAATAACCACGAAATCACCGACCTTGTAACACTCTTTGGACAGTTTCTGGATCATGATATGGATTTGACGCCAATGTCCCCCAGTTCAGTTTCGTTTAACGATGACACTCCTTGCAATGAAACATGTCGTAATAACCCTCCCTGTTTTCCGATTGATATCCCCGATGACGATCCCCGCATCCGTGATTTACGGTGTATGGAGTTCGTCAGATCGAGTGCAGCATGCGGGACAGGTATTCAAGGGGGTATGCCCGTACGAGAGCAAATCAACGCAATTACGTCATATATTGATGCCTCACAAGTCTATGGAAGTTCATTGACCCTTGCTGACACATTACGAGAGTTCGATGGAAAGGGAAGTCTGAGAGTGGGAAGTAGTGAAACACACACTGGTCGGCCCTTTTTGCCGTTTGACCCCGATTCTCCAATGGCGTGTTTAAGTGATGAAAGCATGGACGATATTCCTTGTTTTCTCGCTGGAGATTCTCGAGCAAATGAACTGACTGGTCTCACTTCTATGCACACCCTCTTTCTGCGTGAACACAATCGCATCAGTAATATGTTATCACAGATCAATCCACACTGGGACGATGAACGACTATATCAAGAAGCACGTCAAATATTGGGGGCCACATTACAGCATATTACATATGATCACTATCTACCTAAGATTATCGGTGACGTTGGTATGGAATCCATGGGTGTGTACAACGGCTATGACCCAGACACTAATGCCGCTATAGCTAATGTATTTGCCACGGCCGCGTTTAGATTTGGCCATGCAACAGTGAAACCATTTATCTCAAGACTTGACGAGCATTTTAACGAAACTTCAGAAGGTCATCTACCACTACACCGTGCATTCTTCCAACCTTGGAGAATTGTTGAAGAAGGTGGTATAGACCCAGTTATTAGAGGATTCTTTGCTACAGCTGCCAAGGATCTCAATCCCGGTGAAATAATGACAGACGAGCTGACTGAACGTTTGTTCACTCTCACAAACTCTATCTCAATGGATCTTATGTCCCTGAACATTCAACGAGGGCGTGACCACGGCTTGCCAAGTTACACTGAATGGCGAAAGGATTGTGGCCTGCCTAAAGGACGAACATTCAATCAGTTGAAAAGAGAGATATCCAATGACGAAGTTCGTGAGAAACTTGAAGATTTATACGGACACCCGAATAATATAGACCTATACATTGGTGCATTGGCCGAAGATCCCCTTGAAGACAGTCTACTTGGGCCTACATTCACTTGCATACTGGCAAAACAATTCAAGAATACACGGAATGGAGACAGGTATGGTATGTTTAATTTTACCTGTAAATATACATTTATTAAAGTCGCCCACACCAAAATAAATAGTGTGTTTCAAGTGTAAATCGTATAATGAAATCCATAAAGCAAACACATAAAGCCACAAAACAGTATTCATAAATAACACGCACGGTAGAGGCATAGAAGTAGATCACTCTCTCTCTACTGCCTTTCTATAACTAGCGCCCTATTGTGGGGAGGGGAGGGCTTCCGTGACGTGAAGGTGCGAGAACAAGGTCGCTCACAGCCTCAGTATGTTTTTTCTTTGTAGTCACCCGTCAATAAAACAAGTTTTTTTTGGTTGATATTCCAATTTATCCTAAACGACGAGCAACTACAGTCATCAGTTGACGCTTTGACAGACATTTCTTTGACCGACCTTCGTTTTTGTTACATCACAGAAGCGCGTCGCCACTAGAGGGCGCGATATATAGGAGAGTTGTGTCACTTCGGATATTTGAAAAAAAAACAATCGCGATTTGAAAAGTTACTTTAGGCAAGTAATTTAAGTACAATTATTATTATTATTGTTTTTTTTTACCGAGTACAGATTCTGGTACGAGAGGCCTGGATACCTTACACCAAATCAGCTGGCAAGCATAAAGAGGACGTCACTTGCGCGTGTAATCTGTGACAATACAGACATCAAGCACGTGCAACGGGATGTTTTCTCAATGCCAAGCATCAGTGGTGGATTTTTGAAATGTGATGACATACGTGGGGCTGACTTAGCAGATTGGACTGACCGGTCCGGTAATCTAGGTTTGGAATAATATATAAACATTGAGCTGCTATTAATTCAAATTATACGGGGTTTCCATTACTGAATAACAAGGTTGTCCACGGGAAAAGGGACTGGGACTGATAACTATTAAGTGCATAAGATTTAGTAATATCACGCACTGAGATGGCAAGTTTTATATGACCTCGGCCTATGTTATATTATTAATATATTGCCATGGGTATCAAAAATACTGTTCTGAGATAGATGACTGGCGAAAATTATTGTAAAAATAATGATAAACATTTTGAATGTTTGATTACATTATATATATATTTTATTAATTTACTTTATTCATCATTTGTTACACGCCGATGGCCAAAAGTGAGACTTTTACAAACAAATTAATGTTACGAAGGGAGGAAAGCATCTATTATCTTGATCATTGCAAGATAAATTAAAGCACCATGATTATTCTGAATACAGCAATTAGTAGAACAAAAAAGTGTTTTTAAATCCGCCATGCGACGGATACAAGGTAAAATAATATTTTGGTATATTTACAACTTGCGTAAGAGTTTATATTTGGGACATACACAACTAATTCTTCTCCCCCAGTGTCCTGCATATCTACTTCAATGTACCATGTATATGATGAACATCTGAACATAGATAAGGGAATTCCGTATTTCAATACAGATACACAACTTAATTCTAATTATTTTTATAACGGGTTTAAATGTACATTAGGCTAGGAGCTTCGAGAAGGTTGGTATTGTTTCGTGCCAATTTTGATGTGTCGTATCCATGACTCAGTCTCCGACCAAATTATTTAGAAACAATTCAATGTTACCTACACCTAGGTTTAGCCACATCAGTAGACAAAGCAGTAGTTTAAAGGGGCGGTGGTCGTCTCGCTGCGCATGTGCGACATTTGTGTTGATAAACATTGATTTTCCCACAATCCAATTCGCTCTTCTAATGGAAATCACAAGTATGAAGTTTGACCTGGGTGCGACGTCTCAGTTTGTACTCGTTGATCTGCGCCATAATCAAAGTCGCCATTCTTGTTTTTATGAGACCTATATATCTTGCGCATGCGTGGCGCGACGACTACCGCCCTTTAACATGGTACGCCCAGTTTATTATTAATCCTCGTCTTCTCTAGTCTCTTTATCATTGAATAATATTGTAATGGGTTTCTATTTGGTTTCATGTCTAACAGTTGAAACCAATATTTGACACATAGTTTTAAATACATTTTAATTTTAAAATACATTCAGTGGTAAGCGCCCTCTATCCCCAAGGCATTTTCATTTGCTGTATTATTAGTTTTATGCGTGCTGAGCAGTCAAAACTACAAATTACACTGCAGTAGCACAGAATTGGCATAGAGTCAAATAACTTGAATGCATCTGCAATGGGAAGACCCCCCCCCCCCTGGTAATTCCCACATAATGTTTGTGTTACCTCCACACAGATCACACTCCGCCGCATATCAAGTGTCCAATGAATATAACTCATTACATCTCATCTAAACAAGCAAAGGTCACGTGGGTTGATCCGATCACCACCGACGATTCCAACGACCCTGTGAAAGTCACGTGCACAAAAGGCAGTGGGCAAATCTATTCACTGGGAGTGACGACGGTAATGTGCACAGCCACCGACTCTTCGGGGAACTGCGCTACATGTCGATTCTCCATCAACTTAGAATGCGTGTGTAGTAAGTATTTTCTAACACCCCCCAAGACGACCATAGCTGCTGCAACTGTTATCACGATGTATTTGTAACGAAACTCCAGTTTCTGTGTGATGGGAAGACATCGCTGACAATTTTTTTTTTTTTCGTTTTCAGGTCGAAACTGACATCCTGTTAATGGCGCATGGTGAAGACGCTTCATCTTGTTTTCCACATAGCGAGCGTCATACTAACTTTTCTTGAGACTCGCATATGTACATTTAGACTGGCAACTTGAAGGTCACCTGAGTTGCGACCTCCGCGGTCTGATGCCGTTCGGTAGCAACTCACGCCTTCATGTGAGGCTAATGTACATTTCGATTGAAATAAGCCTCGAAATTCTGAAACATGATAGTCCTCGATTCATATTTTAAAAACTAAACAAAAAATCATCAAGTGTATAGCCATCAAATATAATATTTGTCAAAATCAGTAGTTTTGTTTCATGTATGTTTCTGATGGCAGCAAACAAACAAGGTAATTTATTCACTCACTATTTAAGCTCGCGACTAAGTTCTATTTTCAATAGTTAATCTTCAGAATATATCTGCTGTCAGATAAAGCCGTATCCTGCAAACACAGATTTTAAGGCTAAACACTATTTGCTTCCATTTTTGGAACTGTTTAATTGTTTGGAACTGTTTAATTTAACTATGGTTACAACATCTAATAACTCGAATTTGCAAATTTGAGTAAGACACTGATGTAATCATAACTGAGTATATTTGTCTTTAATTATTTATCAAGTCTGGGTTTACTAACCGTATCATGTCAAATAAACGCATTCTCCTTTTGGTGAAAAAGATTTTTTTTACGAGAGAATTTTGAATAAAACTTGTACAGTGGACGATTTATTCCGAAAGAGTCCCGCAGCAATCGTGTTAATAAACTAGTTGCTGAAATTCACTGTACGTTTGAGCTATAACAATGACAACGAGCCATATATGGTAGTGACACGTGACACTATACACAGCGTATGGATGAATGTATAGTATAGTATGGGTGTGCGTGTATGGTTTATTATGAAGCCATTGCACACGGACCACACCAACGCTATGAAGCCACATACCCTCTGGCTTCACAATGTTTCATAAATTATATTAATATTTAATCGAATTCAAGTCAAGTTTGCAAAACTTGGGTTTAGTAACGGGGGAAG